TGGTTTCTCACTTTTAAGCCCATGAAGGCTAAAACGAATATTGAGGTGGAAAAAGCAGAGAAGTAGGAACTCAAAGTCAGAAGATCTTGGTTCTAGTTCTAGTTTTTCCAGCTTTGTGGTATGACCTTGGGCCAGTCATTCCTCTTCTGAGTCAGAGGTTCCTTACTTGATCTTAAAGTCTGAGGTTTAATATAAAATTGCCTCAGAGAGATAGATACCTTTAATGTTTGTCAATTTCTGATAACTATCACATACTTCTAAAAAAAAAAAAAAAAAGCACTTCCTCACAAGTTTTCTTTCAGCATTAATTTGCTCATTTTGTTTTTTACATTGGTAAATTATCATTCAATTCATGTGAGTTATTAAATTATTAATTAATGAGTTTTAAAATCTACAAGATTTCACTGCACTGGATTAGTTAAAATAAAATTTTTGGAAAAACAACCAAGTTTCAGCCCAGTCCATTCCCCATTACTTGAGTATTACTACATTCCCTATCTTGTCACTTCCATTGATTTCTGCAAAGTTCTGTTCAGGCACAACTCTCATGATGGTATTTAACAAAATGGTATCACCCCAAATGGTATTAGTGCATGCTAATGCATGCTAGTGAATTAATGAATGAATTTAGGTAAGAAGACAGCAATAAAAATCCAAGCCATTCTCAAGCACAGAGAGAAGATATGACAAACCTCATAATAAAAGAAGTAACAGACAGAAGGGAAATCTCATAACTACCACCAAGTTGTTCTCAGTCTCAGCCTCAAGAGAAAATTTGAAATAGAAACCTACTTACCTCTTCCTGGGCAAACCAGTTTTCCAGTACAAGAAGCCAGACCCAGGCTAATCTTTGAGGGTTGATGTCCTGTCCACATCTGAAAAATGTAAAAAGAAAGTTTCTAAACAAAGAATTTCTACTGACTTTTTCTCTTTCGTCATCCAAGATTTAGATTTCACTGCTCAGTCCATTTTAAACCTGAACACGCAAGATGTTCTAATGAGACATTTTCAAATGTACATGACAGATCAATAAAACTAGAACCAGAATAGAACTAGCAGCTTTCATAAAAAAGAAAAAGGTTTTAATCCTATCTCCACCTCCCTATCTAGTCTTTATTATTTTTAAACAAAATAATATTATGGAGAAAACCATAAAAACAAAGCTATCTAAAGCATATTCTTGAAAACAGAAACTGCATCAAGTAGTCTTAAAGAAAAAAAGGAACTTGATACAAATTTATTTTTAACTCTATGCTAGAAAGAGGGTTATAGGAATTCATAAACCTTTCTTTGAAGTTAGTAATTGAAATTAGACAATAACAGGCTAGGATGCAAATTTAAGGGGATAAAAATAAAGGAAGAAAAGAGTCTCCATTCTATACAGGGTGGGGCAAAAGTAGGTTTACAGTTGTGAATAAGTGAAACAGTTTATTCTTGTATTATTGATTAATTATTGTATTATTTTCCTGATGAACAACTGTAAACCTATTTTTGCCCCACTCTGTATATGCTAATATAGTACTTACACAATATAACATAAATGCCAAAGTAAGGGAAGGTGACGGAGTGACTGAACATTACATTTAATTTCTATACTAGTTATTAGCACTGCCAGGAAGAATTTCATAAAAAATTTAGATAGAGAACAGTGTCTGTCAGGAGGAAAGGAGTGGTCAAAATACAAAGAGGTATTCCCAGGGGGTGAGGGAATTCTTTTGTGGTGATGAAACAGTTGTGTATCTGGATTACAGCGGTAGTTACATGAATATACACATGGATAAAACTGCATAGAACTACACACATAAAAATGAATGCAGATTAAAAAACAGTGAAAGCTGAATAATCTAGTTAACAGTAATTACCAATGTTAATTTCCTGGTTTTGCTATTGTACTGGAGCTATTATGAGATGTCACAACTGGGGGAAGCTATCTAAAGGGTACATTTTGTATTATTATTGCACCTCTGTGAGCCTATAATTATTTCAAAATAAAAAGCTTTAAGTGAATTCACTTCAATTCCATAAGCAAGAAGAGAGCAGGGTTTGCTTTTTTGGAGGCAAAGAAAATGCTTTTCAAAGCAGTTCCACCATCTACTTTATTGATAACAAACAAGAAATGGTGGTTTCAGGCACAACTTGCTGGCCAGGCTTAAATACAGTTCCAAACAATAATCTAATGCCAGTATTGATTGAGTAATAGGTATGTATTACAGAGGTAAATTTTCAGAGCATGTGAAATACTCTTCCTCTGCTAATTCTTCAGAGGGTAGCTGAGTGAGGCACAATGACCAGAGTCCAAATGTTGAACCTCGTGTCTCCCACCCTGTGACTGCCTGGCAGGAAGAGAGATCCCTCACCTCAGCTGATCTGGACACACCACCAGCGCCTGTAGTATATCCTGCACCTTCTTTGGGATATCCCCTTGTGCCTCGTGCAGCTGAGGTACACATGCCTGTGCCAGCTCCCATTCTCCTCTTCCAAGGCACTCGCAGAAAAATCCAAAAAGCTCCTTCTGGGAAGCAGCTTCCTCTTTTCCAAACGGATGATGCATTTTCCCAGCACAGAGTGCAGGGAGATAGAAAGAGATGAATTACGCAGAACACATTGTCAGTTTTCTCACTCGTGGAGCATCTCCTACAAAACAATATACACCAAAGTAAGAAGAAATGGAAGGAGCTGTATTTAGACAAATATCAACTACTAGCCCAACTGGGAAAGGCGGGACTTATTTTCCTAATTATCATTGTAAGGTTGATTTGATATGTTACTATCTTTGAGAAGTTCCACCTTTCCCTGAGGGGTGGATCTCATCTCTCTACGAGCATCTAATATTCAATTAATATTAACGGTCGTATTAGCCTAGGGCCCAGACCCATAACTCCACGTTTGTATTCCCTCCTAAACTTTATACCCAGTCCCGCTCCAAATTCCCGGGTGGTCGCCTCCTTCAGGATGAGAAATTCAGCAGGACCCTCCCTCGTTTGAGCTCTCCCTTAGGGCGAAGGATTGACGACCCGCGGACGAACCCGTGCCAGAACCGGAGGGCGGTGGGGGCTGGGGCGCAGGGACGCTCCCTGCAGGGGTCTGGGGGAGCGCTCTCGCCTTCTCGGGGTGCCTTACACTCACCTGCTCCCGGCGCCCGAAGCAATAGTGCTTCCAGAGCGGCCATGTTTCAGACGGGTCAGGTGACAAATTCCATTCGGGAGGTTGCGAGGCGGGTAGGGGTGGGGCTGACGATTGACAGAGGCCACTCCAATTGGCTAATGGAGGGAATATGTAAATAAGGCGCCATGTTTGTTTGGGTCACGTGACGCCACCTCTGTGAACTGGAGAATGGTCGGAGCCTCCGTAAAAAGTAAATCCGCTACCTGTCTAGGGACCGTCCTCAGTTTTGACAGCTCCTCTGCTCTACACCTTTCGTTCAGCGTTCGGCAGAGCAGGAAGCAGGAAAAGCTGTGTTTCTTGATTTTGTTCTTCTGCCCTCTTTTCTTCTTAGCGTTTGAAGTCAGCGTTTATTGAGCTCCAATCAGTGCCAGTGCTTTGGCAGGCTGGGGGGATACCCAGGGCAAGAATCCTTCTCCATTATTATTCTATACACTTGGGCTCTCTTATAATCCCAGAACCTTGTGTTCTGAATTCCCATTTTCTTCTGTTTAACGCTACTCATTTATTTGCTCATTTACCTGACAACCGTTAACTGAGCGGTGTGCTAGCCTTTAGAAACTGAGTAAGTTGTGGTCCCTTTCCTCAAGGAGCTCACAGTCTAGTGAGGGGCGCAGGTCAAAAATTAGGATCAAGTGGGCTGAATTATAAGATAGAGGTATGTATGCACAGGGGAGATAAGCGCAAAGAATGAGCAAGCGCTTTCGCACATGTAATAATCTGAAACGGAGAAAGGAACGGTTTGAGCAATTTTATTCAGCATTTCCAAGACTATTTCACTACCAAAGGGTGATGAAAAGAGCAAGCTCAAACAAACCAAAAGCTTCTTCCAAAACCTTTCCTATGATAGGTGGATTCTCTATTTCCAGAAGACTAACACGGCCTCTCTGATCCATTTAGCAATTTTTAAATGTAGTGACAAAAGAAAGAAAAAAGTTCAAGCAAAGTTTATCCTGGTTTCATACACTCCCTGCTGATGTTCCTCCACCGCCTTTGGATAATCACTAGATTGCGAAACTGGGACTTACAGTTTTATTATAGAGTGTGAACTACAATTCCCAGCAAGCCGCGGGGCCGACCTGGCTCTGCCTGCCTCTGATTGGATAGCTCTCAGGACGATGATCCAACCAGCGCTTTGTTTGTTGCTTTGTAGCGCTTTCCTAGGGGAACTGTGTGATGGGTGGGGGAAACTTTGAAAGTTGGATGCTGCAGACCCGGTACCGGAAAGTTTCATCTCGGGGGCAGTTGTGGGGAGTTGGGGTGCGTGCATTATTTTCTGTTCCCTCTCTGGGCCCGTGGTATTGACCTTGGGGCAGCGGAGAATCTCTCGTGTGCAGGGCACGCCCCCTAAGTCGGTGGGGATCTTAACTGGAACTCTGTCGCGCATCTGGAGGCTTCCTGCCTGTCTTCCTTTGTGGGGTTGCAAGGAATCTGGGCCTTGTTGAAAAAGCTCTTTTTAGGGGACTCTGGGGTGGTTTCGCCTCTTGACGCCCACCCCCCCTTTTACTTCCGGGCAGTTTGGGGATCCAGGCGGGGGAGCCGTGATTCAGGGAAGGTTAGGGTCTGCCCGCCTTCAGGTGGTGTTGCAGGAGAGGTGGAGAATGGCGTGGGGTCTGCAGTCAGGTTCCTGGATTCGAACGCGGACCCCTTCATACGCTGCTAGCTTGTTAGACTGCGAACGTTTTCAACTCCGTGCCTCTATCTTTAATCTGAAAAATGGGGTAAGACATCTGAAGCCCTTGGAACAGTGTATGGACCATAATAAGGGCTCAATAAATATTAGCTATTATTGTTACTTAATAATTTTTCATTGAACATCTAACAGGAGGAGTTTTTTTTCTTGATGAGGAGGAGAGGATTCAATTTCCAGGGCTGAATATCTTCCCTCGTTCCCCATGCACGTGAGCGCAGGTACACACATGCAGAGCAGGTTTGTGGCAAGCCAGTTTGGTGCGCTTTCCTGTCCATAGCACATTTAAATACCAACGACAATACTTATTGCATGACTGTAGTTATTTTTGTATACAGCTCTTTTCATCTTTTACTGTGAATTGCCAAAGTGGAGGGAATATGCTTAACTGATTATTGTACCCCAGAACTTAGCAGAGTGTGTGCTAAAACAGGGCCTGCGGCCTTGGCTGGGTGGCTTGGTTGGTTGGAGCGTGGTCGTCTCGTGAACCTGCACCGAAAGGGTTTCAGGTTCGATTTCTGTTTGGGGTGCGTGTGTTGGGGGGGTTTCTCTCTCACATCAGTATTTCTCTCTCTCTCTGCCCTTCCTCTCTCTCTAGAAATCAGTAGATATACCTTCAGGTGAGGATTTAAAAAACATAATAATAAAATAAAATAAAAAGTGCCTGCAGAAGGAGCAAATGAATGGAATTAAAAATTTTTATTTTTATTTTTTGGTGAGGCAGTGAGTAACCAGAGGCAATATGCAATAGTCCAGGAAAGTGATGGGAGTGGCCCTAATAAAGGCAGAGATAGCAGAGTTGGTCACTGTTAAAGTCCAGGTAGTTTGGGATTTACAGTTCTCTTTTTTGATTGAATTTATTAGTCTAAATGGTGTCATTGCCCAGAACTACCCCATCTGTAAAGACACTAGGCAATGACATAGCACATATGACATGTGACTTAGTAAACTTCCTACTGGGAAAACAGAAATGAATACTGACAAATTCCCATTAAAAGAAATGAGAGGGATGCATTCTGTGTTTGTGGGAGGGATGTGTGTGTGTGTGTGTGTGTGTGTGTGTGTGTGTGTGTGTGTGTGAAAGAGAGAGAATCTGATACACAGATATTCAATCTGATTCAGAGAATTTAGATGTTAAATAGAAATTTGGGTCCTGGTATTGGAAATAAATATCTACATTCTTGGTATATATTTTTGTTTCAAAATTTTACTTTTCTGATAATTATATTGCTTTAGCCCCAGGAACAATGAAGGGTTCCTGTTTCTACTCTATCCAGAGAATATTTTGCCATCTCAATAAAATACACAGCCTTTCCTTTGCATACATTATCAAGGGAATCACAGTGATTCTATTCTAGCTCTCTAAAGGCAGTTATTTCAGGAGCCTCATTTAGCCCTAACAAGGTTCAACAAGAGTGAAATGTAATAGTATATGGGAATGTGGCAGCTAGTATAATAATCAACAATTCAGCTTGTAAATAACACCTGGAATAATAAAATCTCATTTTATTCTGAAGATTTGCTCTGGCTCATAGAAAACAAAGATAAATATGATTGTGGACTTGGAATAGAGTGCAATGGTTAGGATAGACCTCAGAGTCAGATTTCCTGGGTTTGAAATCTGGAACCACCATTTACTTTTTCTGGTGACAATAGAATAGCTAAGCTTTTCAGGCTTTTGTTTTCTCATATGCAAAAATGGGATGAATAACCTTTCTTACAGGGCTGTTGAGAAGATTAAATGTGATAATTTATGTATAGCAACAGTGCCTGGTATAGTAGATGCTCAACAAATGTATTATGGTTACAGTGCAATGAAAGTAAAGACTTTCTAGGAGTGGTGTTTCGAAATATGCCTTGAAGGTTATTTACACATGCAAATTTATAACTGCATTGAAAATCTCAAGATGCTTTACAAATGTCAAGTGGTATTATTATATTCATGTAATAACTATCAAAGAATGGTGTGAACCGTATATTCTTGTGTTGTTTTCTGTGTGTATGTTTGCCAAACAGTTGTCTCCCCTGTTTAAAACATTTAGAAAGATTCTATAGCTTTCCTTTATTTTATCTGTAATATTTTAAATACTATACATTTTATTCACACGGAAAAATTTGAAGAATTTTTTGTTACATAGAGTGTTTCAGATAGTAGCCACCTATTATCACTTACGCTATTCTCCAATGTTTTTTCAAGGTGGATTTCCCCCCCTGCATCTGGAGCCATGGGTAGCAAGAAACTGAGACGAGCGGGTTTATCACAAGAGCTGTGTGACCGTCTGAACAGACATCAGATCGTTACCTGTAAGGTAAAATTTATTTAAATTTTTTTTTTCAATCCTCACCCAAGGATATTTTTTCCATTGCTCTTCAGAGAGAGTGGAAGAGAGAGAGAGAGAGAGAAACATCGATGTGAGAGAGACACATCGATTGGCTGCCTCCCGCACGCACCCCGGGGCCAGGGGTCGAGCCCGCAGCCCAGGCACGTGCCCTCAGCTGGAGCGCAACCCGGGAGCCTTCAGTCCGCAGGCTGACACTCTAACCACTGAGCAAACCAGCCAGGGCTATTTAATTTGTTTTCAATGAGAAACTTTAAGTACAAATTAATTTTAAGTATACCTTAATAACTCCTAACTAGACCTGAAATATGAAAACTAGGTTTATAGAAAAAAAAAGATAAATGATGGTGTTTCTCCACAGACTAATTTTAAATGACAATCTACTTAGGTTCCATTTCCAAATATGATTTCAGTGATTCAGGTTCCATATTTTTGCAATTTGGGGAGAAGGATGCTCATGGCATAAGGTAAAGTAGCATTTATTTGGGGTTTTAGGGAAGTTTTATGTACTTAAAAGAAAATTTGTAGTTACTTGAGAAATTTGACTTGAATGAGGAGATGGTATTCAAAATGGATAATTTCTCTTGAAAGTAAGAGATCCTAATAGTTAGGATCATTTTCCTATTGATGGAAGGAGAGAAATGTATAGAGAAGATGTTACATTTTTAAGCACAGCAATGAGGCAGATCTCTTTTGGGTTAAATGAAATTTAAGGTTTTAGATTGGGACTTAATCCTTAGTAAGGCAGACTTTCAGTACATGCTGCAATTAAAAAAAATTTGCTTTGTATGTTAAAGGTGTTTTTGGTTCCTCTGTTATACATTTAGTAAACCTCATGTTCATACTTTGAAGCACTCTTAAAAGTATGTAATTTAACATTTCATTCCGTAGTCAGTTCTATTCTCCGTCAATTATCAAATACTTCCTCCACATGATCTCATGTAACTTAGGAAGAAACCCGTTTCAACCTGACACTTTCTGGTCATCTATTTGTGTCTAAGCTCTTTCATGTACAAGTGGAGTGCTCATATATATACACATGGGCTGGATGCTGCTGCTCTGTGATGTTACTCTGTGTGTCTTCTGGGACGTGCTAACTAAAATGGATAATTGCAACATAAGACTATCGTCGTATCTTTTAGTTAAGGCATATTTTGAGGGGAAAGTACTATGAGGAATACATAAATCTTTGATTTGCAATAAAATTTATTTTTATCTATACTTGGACAGTATCAGTTGAAAATTTCCTTTTAATTCCAATATCTTTGTTACATCATATATATTTAAAATATTCTCTTTATGTCTCTTTAGGACTTTTTATGTCTTTCCCCACTGGAGCTTATGAAGATCACTGGCCTTAGTTATCGAGGCGTCCATGAACTTCTATGTGTGGTGAGCAGGGCCTGTGCCCCACAGATGCAAACGGTATATATGTATTTTTTATTATTATGATGATGATGTGATTATAATTTTTTATTTTGAAATGATTCTTCATATCATTTAAAATAATTTTTTGAGATGAGACAAAAGCAAAAAGAGATGAGTACCTCAAAAATATTGACTCCTACACTAGAGTTAGCCTTCTAATGAGAATATATTTGAAAAATTTAATGTAGTTTATAAGCTCATGGGAGATAGTTTCTAATTACAGGAATGAGGGGACAACAGAAAGTTTTTTTCTTTGTAGCTGAAAGTGATATTTCAAAAGGTCATCTTTCTCTTTTGTTTTTTTTGGGTAGGATATGTGGACCTTTATGGTTACTTTTAATTTTAGAATTCCCCTATCTCTATAATACTAACTTTTACCATCACCACTTACTTTACATCATAAAGTACACATAGTAGACTTCTACTTGCTTATTGGTTGAATAAATAATATTTAAAAACTTATCCTCACTTTTGAAAAGAGTTAAAGTCTTTTATAACAAGCCCTCATCAAGTTGTACTATTTTTTCCTATTTTCTGTCTCATGACTTTAGCTTTTCAAAGTGTAGGTTTGATATATGGTAGAGAAGATACTGTTTTCCCAGAATAAGAGTTGCCTAAAAGTCTGTTCAATGTTTGCAAATGTATTTATTTATGTGGATTGTAAATTAATTACTTTACCCTCTCATATTGGAATTTGGTAACCACTGAGCAATAAAGTAGAGTGCAGTCCTACGAAGTAGAAAGTGTCCTTTGAGATTTCTGAAACAATGGACGGGGAAAGTATTTTCTTTTGTTCAGCTTTAGCTTGCGATCTGAAGAAGTACCTTAAAGGCAGAGCAGGTAGGAGAATTAGAATTGGAGTTAGGGTTTGGTACCACTCTTGGTGTTGTCATTGATCTCGTCGCTTTGGACGGCTCACTTTGTTTTACCGGAGAAGTTAGAGTTAAAATAGTATGAGAAGATTCTGTGGCTAGATTCAAAATAACCTGTTACTATTTTAAAGGTTGTAAAGTACACCAGGAAAACCTTTTAATTTGGCCTCTGTCATTCTATTCATTCAATATCTATGGCATGTTTCTAGTTAGGTAATAAGAGAGCATGGGCAGGAAATTCACTTTCATCTCCACACATCACCACTTCAGCTGCAATCTTAATACCATTCGTTCCAAATGCCAATTCAAGAATTCATCTTTAGATTTGAGTCCTGCCGTAACATTGGCTTAGCCTTAGTTTTTTCTTTCAAGAAAGATTTTTTTTGCCTATTTATTTATTCAGTCAGTTACTCTTTCCACCAGTATTCACTGAGGGCCAGCCATGTGTCAGGCGCTTTGTCAGGAACTGGGGGGATACTGTAGTGAAGATTGATAAAGTGTCTGCCTTCCTGTAGCTTATAGTCTAGTGGGAGAAGTCAGACATTAGACATAAGTACGTAAATATTTAGTTAATGGTAGTAGTGATAAGTCCTATGAAGGAAAACTCCAAGGAGCTTTGAAACGTAGTAACAGGGGACATTACTTAATTTAGGGAAGGTCTCCCACAAGAAGTGACACGTAGGCCAAAGCCTGAAGGGTGAATTGGAGAGAGATAAGTAAAGGAGGCGAGCGGGAAGAGTTTGCAGGCAGTGGGACCAGCAAATGCCGAGGCTCTGCCAAGAGAAGCAGAGTGGTGCTGGCATGGTCATAAAGTCAAGCTGGTGGGAATGGGACGCAGCCGTGAGGAAGAGATGGCGGGAGATGGAGTCGGAGAAGCAAGCAGGAGTCAGATCATTGGGCCTGCAGACAATGTTACGGATTTTGGACTTTATTCTGGGAGCAATGAGAAGCCACAAAAGGGTGTAATCTAATATGTGTTTTCAGAAACTCAATCTTGGACATAGGACAAGTGATTGAAAAAGAACAGGAAAATATTTGTGAAGAATAGTTAGGTACCTATTAATATATTCTGGGCAGAAAGTGATTGTGACATGGTTTATTAGTGTGGGGTTCATGTAGTTGGTATCATGTCAATTAATGTAAGAGAGACAGGAGAGGTAGAATGAATGGGATTTGGTGATTGTAGATGGGTGGTGTGAGTACAGGGAAGTATCAAGATGATTCCTTGATTTTTGCCTTGAGAAACTGGGTGGTACTGTTTCCTGAGATAAGGGAGACTGAAAGAGGATCAGGTTTGAGGAAGGCAGATCAGAATTCAATTTAGTACCTGTTGAAATTAAGGTGCTTGTGAAACATTGAGGGGAGATGCGAAGTAGGAAGTTAAATGCAGGGTGGGACAAAAGCAGGTTTACAGTTGTTTGTATGGAAAATAATACAATAATGAATAAATAATACAAGAATAACCCTGTGTTTGTGTACTCACACTGTAAACCTGCTTTCGCCCTGCCCCATCTCTGGACACGGATCTTGGAGGAGAGGTCCGTAGACACTAGAAGTGTGCATTTGGGAGTCGGCAGTGTGAATATAGTCGTCAAAGCCATGGGACTGCATGAATTGCCTAGAAAGTATATACATTGGAAGTTAAGTATACCCAAGACCGAGTCCTGAGTGAAGCCAACATTTAAAGATGAGCTTGGACAATAATGAATCTGAGAGGAAGCAACCACCAAAGTAGAAGAAAAGCTGGTGGAATGTCATAGCACAGTATTACTTGTTGTCTCCTTTATGAACATACTATTATTTCTGGAGCCTTGTTTTTTTAGTTCATTTTGCTCTCTTCCTGAGAGTCATCAAATCTATTATTCTAGTAATTATACTTACAGTTGCAAATGAAGCACTTTAATGCTGACAGATTGGGCTGCCCTTTCATGTTCGATAAAGTCTCCCCACGTCCTCCTAACGATGCCTGATGATAGATTGTGGGCAATAAACACGTATTTCTGAATCAGATGCAAATCACACAACTTTGACTGTAGCTTTTCTAATTATTTTATGTGCCCGAATGTAGCCTTAAAAAATTGTGTGGTATCCATGGTTTAACTGAAATGAGAATTCAATAGGTGAGGTTAGAGAAGAGAGAGAAGAGAGGGCACATTTATGGATCATAAATATTAATATGCATGTCTTCCTACATCCTCACAGGGGCAAAAGAGCCTTGGATTTAAGATACAGATTTATTAAATTATAAATTTTACGTGGGTAGACTTTTTCTATTTGGTTTACCATGTATTCCCAGAGACAATCATAGTATATGGCAGGTAGTAGGCACTCTAATTTATTGAATGAATGCATTGTTATGGTTTCATTTCATTCATAAAATTTCATTCATAAAAATGAAATTTTTAATGGTAGAGACTGCAAGAGGCAAGTGTTCTCATGCATTACTAGTAGGCATGTAATCACATTCATCACATCTGCAAAGATCCTTTTTCCAAATAAGGTAGCATTCCCAAGTTCCAAGGATAGGATGTGGATATTCCTCAGCCTACTACACCTACCTTATAGCTATTCCTCACAAACCAACCTCGGTTTGAAATGATAACTTGATCATGTCACTCTGTTTCTCTTGGCATAAACTCCAAACTTCAACAAGGCTCTTTATGATTTGGCCCCTGCTTATTTCTCCAGCCTCATTGCTTGCCACACCATGACCACACTCCATCTTTCATCTGTTCTAAATGAACTTTATTTTTTGTAGTTTTTGTTAGTTTCCATTTCCTCCCTTTATTGCTTCTTGCCCTTTCTTTGCACACTCTCTTTGGCAGGCACATGCACATTTCCTTTGCCTAACAGCTATTTCAGACGTTGGCTTAGTCCAGCTCTTCTGTGAAGTCTTCCCAGATCACAGAGTCCAGGCCAGGTGTACTGTCTTTGTCTCCACTTTCTCTATCACAGTATCTTTTATTAACTGTACGGTAATTGCCCAGTTTCTAGTCCTGATGGTTGACTATAAGTACTGTGAGGGGAAGGGCTTTGTCTGTTCAGTCATATCCCTGTAATCTACCTCAGTCCCTGGCAAAAAGCAAATATTTGTTGAACAAATAAATAACAGGATAAAAAGATGGAATTGGCGTTTTAGTTGCCAAAATTTGAGGTTTGGAGTTGGTTTATGTTTTTGAGTAGATATGGAGGTTGAAAAGAACTTAATCTTTTTCTCGTTCAGGCTTATGAGATAAAGGCACAGAGGTCTGCTGCTCTTGCGCCAACATTCTTACCTACAACCCTTTCTGCGTTGGATGAAGCCCTGCATGGTGGTGTAGCTTGCGGATCCCTCACAGAGGTAAAGGAGACACTTTCCCAACCTTCTTCCATTACCCTATTACTTTCAGAGCCTGGGTAAAAGTTTAGTTAAAAAACCACATTCTTTCATGAATATTAATCTGAATTAAATTATAACCACTTCAGGGCATGGTTCTCTACTCAGTGTCTAGTATAGTTGCTCTGCAAGAAGATGTTAAAAAAAACCCTTGTTGACTGACTGGCCTGTCTCCTTTATTGCCTTTTTTTTTGAATTAACTTAGAAAGTGATGAATATTATGAAATAATACCAAACAATTTGGAGAAATTCAAAAAGGACCACTACTTAATATATAAGGGAAGAAAATTTGAAAATGTATTAACATGTGGGCAAATTATAGTACTAAACTGAAATGAGCTATATTTACTTGTGGATAGAATTTGGTCCCAGGAAGTGATAGGTATTAGTTATATATTGTTGCAGAATAAATTACCTCAAAACTAAGTAGCTTAAAACAAAAATCACTTACTGGTTTTGTTTCTTTGGGAATGGCGTAGCTTGGTGATCTTGGCAAGGAATGCAGTGTCTGGAGGCTTGGTGGGGCTAGCAGATATTTTGGGGGGCTCACTCATGTGACTGGCCAGTTGGTGCTGGTGTTGACAGGGGGTCATAGTTCCTTCCCAGGTGGGCTCTCCATGGGCTGCTTGAGTCCTCTCATGACATGAGGGCTGACTTGCAACAGTTGGATGAGTGATCCAAAAGAAGGCAAGATGGAAGTGGTGATGCCTTTGATGATTTAACTGTGGAAGTTACACATCATCACTTCTGCCATGTTGTCTTCATTTGAAATGAGCCAGTAAGTCCAGCCCATGTTCAAGGAAAGAGAATTAGGGTCTACCCTTTGAAAGAAGAAGTGTCAAGAAAGAATTTGAAGACATTTAAAAACCACCACAGTTCTTTTCCTTGAAAACTACATTGGTGTGCTCAGTGGTACTGATTCGGTGAATCGATAGACTATATTTTCCAATACACTGCTGAGGGACTTCTTGCCTGAGAGTTCCAGGAATATAGATACTTGAAACAAACTTCTAAACATGAGCAGACTCTTACATTATGATAATCATAAATTTTACTGTAAATTTTCCCCCAGAAAGATCTAAAACCCTGTTTTAGATAATAAACCTTATTTTATGTCTTTGAAGAAAGATTTAAAAATGTGTGTGCACTATGCCTAGTATTTGCCTATTAGATAGCTTGTAAATGAATGAATGAATGAATGAATGAATGAATGAATGAATGAATGAATGAATGAAGTTATCTTTAAAAAAAAATTAGCCCGGCCAGCGTGGCTCAGCGGTTGAGCATCAACCTATGATCCAGGAGATTTTGGGTCAATTCCTGGTCATTTCACATGCCTGGGTTGCAGGCTTGATCCCAAGTAGGGGGCGTGCGGGAGGCAGCCAATCAGTGACTCTCATCATTGATATTGCTCTCTCTCTCCCTTTCCCTCCAATAAAGATATATTTATTGAAATCAATAGAGACATAGTTAAAAGCAAACAAATTTAGAACCTGCAGTTGCAGAGTACTACCACCAGATGGTGCCAGAATCCTGTTTTATATAATCTTTTTGTCATTTAGCTGGACCTTTACTCAAATAAGTTTATAACAATAGTGATCCACAGTTATAAATTTATTTAAATAACAAAAAATTGAACATCAGGAAGATTAACAACTACTTTTTTTTTTTTTTAAACCTCACTTGAGGATATTTTTTCCATTGCTTTTCAGAGAGAATGGAAGGGAGAGAGAGAGAGAGACAGAAACATCGATGTGAGAGAGACACATTGATTGGTTGCCTCTCACATGTGCCTGGACTGGGCTGGGGATCGAGCCTGCAAATGAGGTACATGCCCTTGGCCAGAATCGAACCCTGGGATCTTTCAGCCCATAGGCCGGCTCTCTAACCACTGAGCCAAACAGGCTAGGGCACTACTTCTTACTTTTTAAGTTTTAGAGTAATTTTCAATATTTTCGCTTACTTTTTATTAATTCGTTTTGAATCTAAGTGGTAGTTACAAGCCATTTAAGTGTTTCATTATGAGCTACTTGGCTGAATTGGAGTATAAATCTCTGACTGTTTATTAGTGGCAAATTCTCTACTTTCTGTTTCAGCTACAGGTAACCTTTTCAATCTTCTTGGGATTTTCAGCTGAATACAGGGAGTATCTCTGTGTATTTATTAAAAAACAAAATTTTAATATTTATTTTATGTATACATAATTAAGTATATCTTGCAAGTGTAAGTTGTGAACTCCTATGAGCCCAATACCCAGTATAAGAACCAGAACAATACCAAAACCATTGAAACTGACTGTAGTCTCCTCCCTGATCTTTGGCCTTCTGTTAGGAGGTAACCTCTATCCTGAATTTCTACCATTCCTCTACTTTTCCTCCCTGTAGTTTCTGATAACCTTTACCACCTATGTACACAAGAGATATATCATTGTATTTAGTTTTGTGTATTTTTGAGCTCTATTAAATCATATATTTGTGGTCAAATCCTATCATATCTCTTCTATCTGCTTCTTTCACTTAGTATTGTTTTCTAATATTTATCCATGTTGTTGCCGGTAGCAAGAGTATAATTCACTGTTGTATCATATTCCATTTTGAAAGTAGGCTACAATTCATTTACCCCTTCTCTTGTGAGTGAATATATTGGTTTCTTCCTACTTGCTACTAATGTAAACAAGTTCTGTGAAACTGTTACACATGTCTCCTGGATCACATGTACAGGTATTTCTTTAGGACAGGGATTGGCAAACTACTTACTGCCCAGTGGTAAGATTTGGCTCACTGCCTGTTTTTGTAAATTAAGTTTTATTGTAACACAGCTATGCTCATTTGTTTACATTTTGTCTGTGGCTACAAGGCAGAGTTGAGTTAGTTGTGACAGAGACATCATGGTCTACAAAGCCTAAAATATTACTATCTGGCCCCTATCTAGGATATCTACTTTGGAGTGATTTGCTGCTTATAGGGTATGTGCATGTGTAACTTTGCAGAATCAGTGCAAATTGTTTTTCTGAGTGGTTGTGACTGTTTTACATTCCTACGAGCGGATGTGCACAAATTCCTCTTGCTCCAAATTGTCTTGTCTTGGTATTATCAGACTTCTTAACTTCTGCCCATCTTTGTGATCTTAGTTTTCATTTTCCTGATTTCTAGTGAGCTTAAATATCTTTTCATAAGTCATTTGACTATTTAAAAACATAATTTTATTACGGTACAATTTAAGTACTTTAAAATTCAACCATTGTAACTGTATAATTCAATTAGTAAATTTATATTAAATCATCACCACAATCCAGTTTTAGAACATTTCCGTCATCCTAAAATGTTCCCTTGTGCCCATTTGTAGTTAGTCTCTGCTTCCATCCTTAGCCTTAGGCACCCCAGCTTTGTGTCTTAATAAATTTATTTGCCTTTTCTAAACATTTCATATAAATTGAATCATATAATGTGTAGTCTTTTGTATCTGGTTTCTCTCACATAGCATGCTATTTTTAGATTCATCACTCTTGTTACATGTATTAGTAATTTTTTCTTTTAAGAGTTGAAAAGTATTCTATTGTATGGCTATGGCATATTTTGTTTATCCCCTCATTAGTTGATGGACACTTGGGTTGTTTCCAGTTTTTGTCTATCAGGAGTAATGCTACTGTGAACATTCACAGACATGTCTTTGTGTGAACATAGGTTTTTATTTCTCTTGGGTGGACTCCTAGGAATAGAATGGCTAGGTCATATGATAGGTGTGTGTTTAATATTTAAGAAACTGTCAGACTGCTTTCCAAAGAGGCTGTACCATTTTACATTCTCACCAGCAGTACATGATGGTGGTTTCTCCACATCCTTACCAAGACAGTAAAATCTTCTTGATTTTATCTAGTCTAGCGGGTGTGCAGTTGTGTTTCATTGTGGCTTTAATTTGCATTTTTCTGATGACTAATGATACTGAACACCTAGTCATGTGCTTATTGGCCATTTATACACTTTCTTTAGTGAAATGTCTATTCAAATCTTTTGCATATGTTTTTAATTGGTTGTTAATTTTGTTGTTATTGAGTTATATATTCTGGGTATATAAAGTCCTTTACCAGATATATGATTTGCAGTTATTTTCTTCCAGTCTCTGGCTTGTTTCTTCATTTTCTTAGTGGTAGCTCTCAAACTTTAAAATTTTGGTGTCGTCCAATCTATCAGATCAGCCTGTTAAAATAGTCCATTATATTGTCGAGTTGACAAGTTTACTTGTAGTTCTATTATTTTTTACTTTATATATTTTGAGCTATTTTATTATGTTAATTAACACATTTGGAATCGTCCTATATTCCTGGAGACCTGAACCATGTGCTATGGTTCTTCTGTGTAGCACGTGCCACCATGACGGTTTTGCTGTTTGTGTAATTAGTTAATGTATATCTTCCTCATTGGACAACAAATTCCAAGTAGGCAGGGATTATGTCTTTTTCTTCTTATTACATCCACAGTATTGTGACATGAAGAAGGTACTTAATAACCATTAGTTGAATGAAAGAATTTGTTTGCATTTATTTATTTATTTTTTGGCGCTTACATGGTGTTTGTTTACTATAATGCTTTGGTTCCTGCTGCCTCTCTTACACTTTCCCCTTTGATCTTGGAATAACCTAAACTTTGGGAACTTCTAATGTTATTGCTATTGCAGGGGAGAGTATTTATTTTACAGTGTTATTTTCATTCGCATGCCATTTGTTTTTTAAAATCATTGAAATAGTATATTTAAGGAATATGATTTTTCTACTTAATTGATTTTTTATTAATGAACATCAGTGATTCTTTTACTTTAGGAGTGTTTTTCTTATGTTTTTAAAGTTGTACATCTCCAGTGTCTACATATCTACGTACTTAAATATTATTTTTGTTGTATGTTGCTGTTTAACACATCATTTCAAAGCTTAGTGCCTAAAAACAACAATAACTATTTCTCTCAGTGTC